TTGATTGATTGATTGATTGATTGGTTGATTGATTGATTGATTGATTGATTGATTGATCGATTGATTGGTTGATTGATTGATTGATTGATTGATTGATTGGTTTGATCTTTTTTTTTGGGGGGGGGGATTGCTTGATTGATTGATTGGTTGATTGATTGATTGATTGATTGATTGATTGATTGATTGATTGGTTGGTTGGTTGGTTGGTTGAACACGCGCACACACACACGCGCGCGGCGATTTCTTCCACACACATACACACACACACACACACAAACGCGCACACACACACAAACACGCGCACACACACAAACGCGCGCACAAACACAAACGCGCGCACACACACAAACGTGCACACGCACATAAACGCGCACAAACACACACACACACACACACACACAAACACGCGCACACACAAACGCGCGCACACACACAAACGCTCGCACACACACACAAACGCGCACACACACACAAACGCGCACACACACACAAACGCGCTTACACATACAAACGTGCACGCACACAAACTCACACACTCACACACACACACACACACACACACACACAAACGTGCACACACTCACACACAAACGCGCACACACTCACAAACGCACTCACACACACACTCACACACTCACACACAAACGCGCACACTCACACACTCACACACTCACACACACACACAAACGAGCACACACACACAAACGCGAGCACACACACACATTGTGTGTCCATTCAACTAGCAACGGGATTTTTTCAACTCCGTTGTACCCGTTGAACGGGCACAAGTCCCGAGTTGAATCCCCGTTGAACGATACAACGACCGGTTCTCGTTCAACTCGGTTCAATGGACCACGCGCAACGGCCGCCGGGCACGCGGCGCCGGCGACGTGAACCAAAAAAACAGGGGTTTGTCTCCGACCCCGTCCGTTGTACCCCCGTTGAACAGCAGTTGAATCCCCGTTGAATGGATTCAACTCCGTTGAATCCCCGTCGAACGGCTTCGTCGTTTGACGGGTAAGCGAACGACGGGGGCTGCGCCCGCGGCTGCGGCCGCATCACCGTGCGCTGGAGGTCCCCCTTGCTGTGATTTCCATGTCTGTGTGTGTGTGTGCGTGCCTGCTGCTTTGCATGACTGTCTGTGTGCTTGTCGGTTTAGTGTGTGTGACCCCCAAGGGTACTTGTTGTTTGCAAGGCCCCGAAGGGCCAGTACTTACCTATGGTCGTGACTGTCAAGGTTGAAGGGGGGGTAGAGAGTCAAGCAGCGGGAGTAGGCCCGCGACACTTAGAGCAGGGGGGAGACACTCGAGTAGCAGGTAGGCCGGTACCACTCGAGTAGTGGTAYGAGTGTCGTACTGAAGGCCGAGCAGAAGAAGACAAAAAGTTGGCATTTTTAGAGGCCCAGTAGCGGTAGGCTGTAGGTTARAGGTAGGCYGGTACCAGTCCAAGYAGCCCGGGTCTAGGGCCTGTCCGGAGGATAGCAGAGCCTGCAATGATGTTTCCCTCCGAAAGGGAGGAGGTACCGGTTGCTGGGAGGCCGCTCGGCCTAGGAAGTCACCGCCCAGGAGGCCGGTAGGCCGCTATATCTCCAGGAAGAGCAAAAAGCTCTTCCTCATTTGCGGTGTGCAAGGATTGGCGACATGCTGCTGGAGCACAACGCTGGAGGTACAGCGCTGCTTGGAGGGAGAAGGGACCCCTGGAGCTCTGCCTGGCTATGGCGAGCAGTCCAGCTTGAGGAGGAGGACGAAGGGGCATGGTAGGAGAGTGTTGAGGCACTTACCTGCCTATGGTGGACACCGTCTTCATCACCTTGTTGGGCGCTGCATCCGGAAGGCCCCAGTTGGGGTAGCGTTGCAGCAAGGAAGCTCAAGGCAGAGTCAGGCATGGTGGACTTGTCAGCAGCGACATAGCTGCTCTTGGGTTGTCCTTTGGACATCGGCAGCACCATAGCTGCTTTGGGTTGTGTTTTGTACAGGAGGGCAGGGCCCTCATCAGTCCGCCATAGTCTGTGCATGAGAGGGAAGGCTGAAGGAGGGAAGCCATAGCTATGGTGGGCTTGTTGTTGTTGTGGAGTTCATCCATTCATTGTTATTATTATTATTGAGAGAAGAATAAGATTGGTGAAGTGAAGGAGGAGGAGGAGGTTGGAGAGAGAAGGGGGGAATTGTCGTTGGTCTTGCTGGTGTACTTCTTCTTTTTCTTCTTCTTCTTCTTCTTCTTCTTTTTCCCCTCTCTTCTCTGGTCTTTATCTCTTTGCAAGTGCTTTCATTTCTTTAGACTTTCACAATTGGGTGGCATTGTCTTTCATTGTGAATTGCACTTGGGAAACGACCAGGATCGTAACAATTGAATGATTGTTGGGGGAGGGCTTCCCAGACACACAAACACAAACTGCCCCCCCCACACATACACACACACACACACACACATACACACACACACACACACACACGCACACACACACAAGAATAACTGCATATAAGAACATAAAACTACAATGAAAACAAAGTAGTCATGAAATGTCATACAAAAGTCATGGCGAAGTGCCAGCGAAGTCGCATATAGGAGTCCAATATGAAATAAATCTCACATGGTACAATGTGTCGTCGACACTCGTGCCGAGTCGCACAGGGCCATACACTGATGGGATGCAGCCCACAACGCTAACTAACAAAGTTGAAAATAAAAACCTAACAACTGTCTACGTAAAACAACAAGTTAGAATGAAGTCTAACCACTAACAAAAACCCAATAACTAAAAAACAATATGAAAATGTCGTACATAAAACGAAAAACGAAACAAACAAACACTGTCGACGACACTTCCCAGTCTACCTGCATGCTGAAGTCCATGAACTAGTCCGGAGTCCCTAAAACCTAACTATATGTACATCATCCTAAACAATATACAAAAACGTCAGAACACTAAGCACAAACAACATAAAGGCGTCGTGGAAGCACTGGAAGGGGAACGAAGCTGTCAATACCGTCGACTTCCCTTCCCCTTACCACTGCCTCTCTGCCTCGCCCCACTCGTGCTGCGTGTCGACGAAACACTCCCTCGCCCCGGTGCTGTCGCAACGGATGACCCTCGCCTCCTCCAACTCCTCGTCTCCCGCCGCCCTGGAGGGACGGGTCGTCTACGTCATCATGTCCTCTACGAGAGCCACGTCGTCTACGAGAACCATGCCGCGGTGGAGGGGAGGGGTCGTCGTCGTCGTGGTGGTAGCTGTCATCATCCCCGTTGTCGCTCTCCTCCTCCTCACGCTCCTCGTCGTCCCTGTACTTGTCACCCTCCTGTGGGGCCTCCTCACATGTAGGCTCCGTCTCGGGATCGTCCTCCAGCACGGTCACATGGGCAGCCCCCGTCCTCACCCGAACAAGCCTAGCACTCACCTGAATCACCTCTGCGACTGTCTTCTCACGACGAGAACCGCCCGGCATCTCCAACCCCTCGGCTCCTGAAGACTCCTCCCACGCGGCATCCCCGTGGCAGGCATCATCTGAGGCATGGAACTTGTACGAGTTACTCCGCTCTAGCACGAAGTCTGCTCACGCATATCACGTGTTGTTGCTGCCAAAGCGGCCTGCAAGGTACACCTGGCATGTCCAACCCCGCGAACATCTCGCGGCTGAGATACTGCCGCCATGACCTCCCTCGGCGCACCCCTCCCGGTGTCAGCCCCACCCAAACTTGGCTGCTGTCGTGCAGTGTGCACTGTGACCCGACGTATGGAGTCCAGGTCGATATCCGTCTTCCCGAATAGCGACGTGTCAAGAGGGAGGCTCCCTACGGCCGTCATGTCACGAACCCTGGGTCTGGTGGGCGTGGATGGTGAACGGGGGGGCCGACCAACTGGTGTCCAGGGGGAATCGCTGTGACGTGATTTCGGAGGAGGAGGCAGCATAAGTGGTCTGCTAGGGTCGGTGTCCTCCCGCCGTGTCACGTCACGCACAGCAGCCTGTGCGAGCTCTGCGAAATCCAATGGGCGAGTTGTATCCTGAGGAGCTCGCCGCCCAGTAACCGGTGTATGAAGAACTGCCTCAGATCCTAAATCCACGACGATGACTGGTGGTACCTGAACAAATGCCTCCTCCCCAGGACCTGACCCCTGCGCACACGGTCGAACAAGCCGCATCGTCGTTGTCATCTGCAAGCCCGTGAACGGTACCAACGAACTGCTACCTCCGAGGATATCCGCAGGGGGTGCATCCTCACGCTCCTCCTGTGGCTGCTTTAATACCTTCTCGCACCCCGGCTGAAGCGTGTTTGTCTCTCTCCCGGAGCGTCCTGCAAATGCCTGCTCGATGTCCTCTGTGGAGTACCCAGCGGCCGCTAGGGCACGCGCCACATCCTCTCTCTCTACGTGACCAGGGGTGGGCGGATCCCCCAAAGACATGTCCATGAAATCCCCCATCCCCAGCCCTGACGCCCCCCTCTGTCCTGATGGCTATGCCCCCAGTGCCCTCCCTCTCCTCTACCATGGGCGGCGTCCCCCTCTACCACACCCTCCTCTCCCCCAACCAACGCAGCAGCATCTGCCCTCACCACATCCTCCTCCATCTCAACCTGGGCATCCCCATCATCTACCCCTGCCACGCTCTCGTCTACCCCTGCCATAGCCTCCTCTCCCTCATCGTCCCTCATCGTCGCCTCCTGCGTCGTCACCACATCGTCCTCTCTCTCAACCTCCGATGGCAGCACGCCCTCCACTCCCTCAACCTGCTCACCATCATCAACCCTCGCCACGGCCTCATCTCTCTCGACGTGCGCACCATCATCTACCTCCACCACGCCCCCCACTACTCCAGCTACCTCCTCCTCCATACCCCGAATACCCTCAACTCCGCCCGCTCCGGCGGCTCCGTGCTCCTCCGCTCGTCTCTCCCTCTCCTCCACCGGTGGTGCCCCGCTATGAACACCCATCTCCCCTAAATCGCTCGATGCACGCGGGTCCAAAATGAGTTGATGGGCTACGCTAAACAATGATCCATGCCCGCGGATGCGCAACGAGGATCCCAAGTCCTCCCTCCCAACAGGTGCAGGTGAGCGCTCATCATGCCGAACGGGAGCGGGCGGAGCGGATGCTGGGAATCCTGGGATAGAATGACGCGAAAGAGGCGACGGGGACGAGGGTCCGGACTGCGTAGCGGGAATACTCGTCTGCTCTCGCGTGGTCGTGGGAGCAGGCGTCTGATCCTGCGCGGTCGACGAAACAGTCGTCCGCTCCCGCACTCTCGTGGCAGGACCCGCCTCCTCACTCGGAGTCATGGAAGCAGGTGTCTCCTCCCGCAAGGTCGTGCAAGGACGCGTATCCTCCCACGCGGCAGTGTGTGATCTCTCCTCCGTGCCCCCGAAAGATCCCCAAAACTCCCCGCCCCCCATCATATCCATGTCTCGCTGGTCAGCCGCCCTCCGCGCGATGTGCGTCCTCTCGTCACGCACGTCGCCCCCCTCGTGCAACTCATCAATCTCATGCGGGATTGGAAGCATCGGGTCGTCCGCTGCTTCCGACTCCCTCTCGTCCGCAGAGTCATCGTCCCTGGGGTATGGGCGGAAGATAGTCGCACGAGCATCGAAAACAGACTCAGCAGGGGGCGGCGCAGAAGACCCGATGGGTTCGCGCGCAATAAGGGCAGCCTGCTCCTCGATCTCCTCCTCCGTCATCCCACTCGTCGTCTCCGAGCGCACAGGCTCCATGTCCAATCCCGCCTGAGCATCAAGCATGCCCTCGTCTCGCTGCCAAGGGAGGACGTATCCACAACCTGCACCTCTATACTCCATCAACCGCACATTTGCGGTGATCTCAACAAGATGAACGACCTTCTCGAAGGCCAACTGATTACGCTTCTTCGTATGGATGCCCTCGTGGACCGCCCAGTTCCTCTCCGCTGGAGAGGCGCAGGACCACATGTGCATCATACGAAGAGCGCAATGCTGTAAATCGGGCGCGTCCCCCACATACTGAGACCACCACGACGCACACTCCAATGTCTCGCAGTCTCCGCTACAACTATGCGCTCGAGCGCGGCCCTCTGCCCCGCCCCAAGACCCATACCTACCCTGCTGCATGTGAAAGTCCTCGAACTGCCGACATACCTCAAGGTAACGACCACCCGACTCGTCGTGGCCCGTCTGAGACAACAGATACCTCTTGGCTTGTCGAACAAGCCAAGTGTGATACCGGTTGAGCTGCGCGGAGAAGTACTGAACATCCCGGCGACGGGGGTTCAGTAAGAACGCGGCGCAGTGTGCGGTCTTCATCATGTGCTGTATACAGGCCTGCACACGCCTCATGATACAGTCAGAAAAGGACTGGCCAAGAGGAATGCAATCATCCCACACAAGGCGTGCAAGATCCCGAGTCCACTCTACAACGAGGGAAATGAACTGCCCGCCACGGTCCATCCGCCTCAGCAAGTCCATGACAGGATCCATGACGTGCTTGATGGCACGCATCCTCTCCTACCAAGGGGACCACCTGATCTGTCGGCGCACCCAACGCACCATGTCGCGAACGTCGGGGGACCAGGGGATCCTAGCCCAAGCCCGACCGTCCTCCGCTGTCATCATGCCTTGCAAAGTTCAAACGATCCTGCAGGGCGAGCAGCCTCTCCAACATGGAGTACACGGACGCAAAGCGCGTTTCGCATGAAAGCACGAGGCCTAATGCCGCGCTCCGCATCCGAAAGGAACTGAGAGCGGCCTGGTGGGTTTTGAAAAACACCACCAAAACTCGGGCACGCGTCGTGTCCACAAAAGAGGTGCAGATCGTGCCAATGTCTRACAACAACTTGTTGCAGACATGGACGCAACACGGGAGCCAAGTGATCCTCCTCAGCTCTGGGGGCATAGATGGCGAGCCCAAAGCCCTCGCAGCCCCCACGTATGCAGAGGCAGAGTCAATGCATATAGCATTGACCCGCTGTGGGCCACCGAATCTGAAAGCATGAAAGATGGCGACCCATCTCTGCAGGAAGTGCACCGCATTGTCCGTCTCCCCTTCTCGGTTGATCGTCGTGTACATGACGACCCCCCGAGACCCAGCTGCGAGGAAGTTCATGATCGGTCGCCCATCTCGTGACTTCCTCCCGTGAGAGAGGAGGGTGGCGCCACTCACTCATAAAGACTGCCTAACCTCCTCCAACTCCTCCGCCAACTGCTCGCGGTGGATCTCCACAGTTCGCATGTCTGTGATCTCGCTATGGGATGGAAGCACGGGAAGAGGTGCTCCATCAGGTTGCCGAAGAGCAACCTGCTGGAGGTCCCGGTACGACCGTCGAACACCCGTCGCCCCTGGCGAAAACCCGTCAACCCCGTTCAACTCCCGTTGAAACCCCGTTGAAACCGCATTGAACTGCCATTGAAAACCCGATCAACTCCCGTCGTACCCTCATCCTGCAGGTTCAGCGGGGGACCGCCGGCGTCGTTGATCGATAGGGAATGTTGCCTGCACCGACACAAAATAAAACAATCAATCAAGCAAGCAAGCAAATCGGCCAAACCATCAATCAATCAAACCATCAAACCAACAATCAATC